GCCGACCCCTCTGGAGACTTGGAGAGCGCCGACCCCTCTGGAGACTTAGAGAGTTGAGGAGTGTCTGCCGGGACCCCCTCGGAATAGGAGAGCTGAGGAGCGTCTGCCGGGACCCCCTCGGAATAGGAGAGCTGAGGAGCGTCTGCCGGGACCCCCTCGGAATAGGAGAGATGAGGACCCACCTCAGGGGCTGCATGCAGCGTGGAGTCCACCTTAGGGATGGCTGCGTGCAGCGTGGAGTCCACTTCAGAGATGGCTATAACCGGAGTCTTTAGTCTCTAATTCAGATAACAAAAAATAATACTCGGGGAGCAAAGAAAGACCTGGGATAGAAAGTAAAAAATCCTCCATCTGGGACAAAACTAAATCAAAGGAGGACGGGTTTCTCTTAGCAGAATTAAATAGTTCTAAAATGGTCTGATTAACTTGAAAAATCTCTTCAGAGGGAAAAGAATGAAAAAAAGGAATGTCTTTAGGTGTGGGTGTGGTGACGGGTGCCGCCCCCACCGGAAACCTGGAAGGTGAGGCGGCGGGACACGCCCCCACGGAGTCACAAGGAAAACTCTCCAGAGGTACGGCCAGGCTGGGTCGAACAGCCGCGGCGCGGAGTGGCGGTGAGAGGCCGGATTCCGCCCCCACCAGGAACCTGGAAGGTGAGGCGACAGAACCCGCCCCTGTAACGTCAACCGGACCGGACTCACTGAACCGAACAGGAGTGGACCGGAGCTCCCGCGGGACGCTGGATCTCGCCCCCACCGGAAACCTGGGAGGTGAGGCGGCAAACCCCGCTCCCACGAAAACACCGGAACCAGCTCTGAAGTTCTGCTCGGCCAACGAGACCAGGCCGGTCGCCGCAGACTGCCTCCGAAACCGTCTTCTGCCACTGCGGCGGCGGAGGGACGGCGGAAGGACAGAGATGGAGAGGAGTTCGTCCATCACGGCACGAGGAGGGAAAAAAAGAAAAAAGGTGTTGCCGAGTGAGAACCCTGCCCGCTGGGTTCTGTTCTGGTCGGGTCGTACTGTCAGGATTTGTGTCGGGAGCGAACCCAGAGTGCAGAACAGGGACTCAACTCGGCAGATATACAAAAATAGGCTTTTAACGAAAAAACTAAAGTACAAAATAAACAAGCTGACGGGGCAGCAAAACTTACATGAACTAGGAAGGAGGCACGGGGAACTCAGGAGACACGAGAGACACGGGGAACTCGAGGGACCAGGAGGACTCAGGGAAAGACTCAGAAGACCCAATGAAGAGTACCCAACGAAGACAACCCGACGAAGAAGAAGACAGAATAGGACGGCTTAAATACAGGAACAAGACGAGACGTGATAACAAACAGCTGGGACGAGACACAGGTGGCAACAATGGAAACTAATGAGGGAGCACGAGGGAAACAGACACAAACCGGGCCACAGAAAAGTACCATCCTTACAATAACTTGGTCATTCTTTGAGATATTGAACTACAAAATAGAAACTCATTGTTGGATTTGTTTGAAACTCACAGAAAGTAATCATCAGACTTATCTCTACAGTTGATAAATGTTTGGAGCCTTTTTGATTCAAGATGGCTGCCATAGCTACCTCAGCATACATAAAATACAGCAAAATGAATAATGCTGTGTGCCATTTTGTTTCAGCATTTAAGGCAGAGCATTGCCTTGCGAAGCCATTTTGGTTATACATGCAAGTTAGGTGAAGTGGCCATTTTGATTCAATATGCAAATTAGGTGAAGTGGCCATTTTGTTTCAACATACAAGTTAGGTAAAGCAGCCATATTGTTTCAACATGCAAGTTAGGTGAAGCGGCCATTTGTTTCAACATGCAAGTTAGGTGAAGTGGCCCTTTTGATTTAACATGAAAGTTAGGTGAAGTGGCCATTTTGATTCAATATGCAAGTTAGGTGAAGTAGCTTTTGGAAAGCAAAAATCTAAGATGGCCGACAATGCAAAAATGGAAAAATACTATAAATCGGTCAATTTTAGTGATATTGAGCTGAAACTTGGTGTGGGGATAGCTAAGAATGTTTCCTATCAATTGCTGTATACAAATAAAAAATCCAAGATGGCCACCAAAGCTACTTTCAAATTGTTTTAACTCAGCCATTTCTATAAATAGAGAGCTGAAATTTGGTGAGGTTGTAGCTGAGAACATGCTCTATCATATACGGAATCCAAATCAAAAATCTAAGATGCCGCCTTAGCTAAATGAGAAAAAGACCATATCTCAGCCATTTTTAGAGCTATTCAGCTGAAATTTTGTATAATGGTAGCTGATAGCAAACCCAAACCCCTTTTACTATTAAATCAAGAAAATAAATCGGCACCAGCCTGGCAGCCCCCGCCAAAGTTTCTCCAGGAACTTTCTAGTTAATTATACTGTTGCATAATTATTGAAACACTACTGTAGGTAAAAGCTAAATTTAGCACTGCTGAAGCTAAAAATCCAAGACCAGCAGAACAGAAGCTAAAAGATACAATTAGTAAAACTATAACTATAAGCTAGCCATCAAAACTGTAGATGGAACCTAGAATTAACAAAACATTAGCTTCATGCTAAAATTAGCAAAAGAGTAGCTAAAAGTCCAAACTAGCAAAAGAATAATTAAAAGCGAAGACCAGCAGAATACAAACTAAAAGGTAAAACTAGTAAAACATTAGCTTAAAGCTAAAACTTAAAAAAAGTAGCTAAAGTCAAAACTAGAAAAACAATAGCTAAAATCAAAACATGTAGGGTGTATGCTGCAGAAGGCTTTGAAGAGCTGTTTTTCAGTGCATTTCTTTAAACAACTGAACAAGGTTAAATAATTCAATCTCAATAAAAGTTACAAAAATCTAAAGTCATAGCTGAAATGTTCTAAACCAGCTGAATGTTTGGATACCTGAATAGCAGAAATAGCTAAAGTTGTCCTGTAGTTACAGCCCCGTAAATTACAGAACAAACTATAAAACGCTGACTTGGCACGTCTTCTAAATTTAAAGTTCTGATTTTTTTTTTCAGAGTCGACTGTTCCGGTCGTCGGGTCGCCAGTCTGGACGTGGATGGAGTCATCAAGGTGTTTGTTGTTATTTTTGTTTACATTCAAGTGGCTTTATGGCATCATGAAAACTAAAAGTTCTGGTTCCTCTTCAGGTCTGGTCTTTCAACCCCATCATGCAGACCAAGGCCACCATCATGTCCAAGTCCCCTCTGCTGTCTCTGGAGTGGGCCACCAAACCAGACCGGCTCGTAAGAAACACCATTCGGCTTCTTTTAGCTTTTAGCTAGTGTTTTGCTACTTTTAGTTAGCATTTGGCCACTTTTTGATAACATTCGGTTACTTTTAGCTTTAGTCTAGAATTTTTTTTACTTTTAAGCATTTATCTACATTTTGTTATTGTAACTGATGTTTACTACTTTTAGCTTTCAGATAGCCTTTTGTTTTTAGTTTGTATTGGCCAAAGTTTTGCTACTCAGCTAGCATGTTGCTGGTTTGTGCTTTATTTTAGGTTTGTGTTTTGCTGCATTTTAGTTAGCACATTGCAGCTTTTAGTTGTGTTTTTCTGGTTTTGAATTTATCTAGCCTTAGTGCTACTTTTAGCTATGTCTTACATTTGAAACTAATATTTCAGTTAGATTTTTGCTTATTTTAGCCTTTTACTAGTGTTTTGCTGCTATTACCTAGCATGTCTGATTTTCCATTAGCATTTGGTAATTTTAGTTAGTGGTTTCCTGTCATTTTACATTTTGCTAATGTTCTTCCACTTTATGCTACTGTATTTTTAGCTAATGTTTTGCTTTCAGCTCTCTGTTTGCTTCTTTTAGCTTTAAGCTTAAGTTTAGTTACTCAGCTAGCATGTTGTTGTTCTAATTGTTGTGGCTTTGTGCCACAATCGTGTTCAAAACAGCTGCGACGGTCACCTTAGTTCAAAAGATTTATTTGACAAACAGGAGTTACAGGTATTCAGAGACAAACAATTACATTTGTAAAATATATGCATATATTTGGAGCATTAAAGAACGAACCGTCTCGGTCTGCGCTTCCCCGGAAATGCTCGCTGGGCGTGTGTCATTTTCGGCTTTTATCAAAGTTTGAGAAGGCTAGCTTTCTGATTGGTTTAGACCCGGTTACTATGGTTACTGGTCTAGCCCTCCCCCTCTTACTGCATTCCAGAGATAAGATATGGAAGCTTGGTTTCTTCGTCTGCGTTCAGACTGTTCACCCTCTAGTTTCAGTTTAGCTTGATTATACCTTATTGATCTTATTATACTTGTGTTTTAGTTCAGTTGAAATCACCCTGCCCCCACATCTAGTAACATTCTCTTGTAGCTTACTGTGACGATTAAACCTATGTCCTCTCATCTAAACCGACCCTGTATCAAACAATGATTAAACGATTAAATGTTAATTGTTATTATCATAAGGACCTGAGGGATTTTACTTAGTCAAACTATATTAAGTCTAAATTAAAGAAATGTGTTCTAGGTTTTATTTATGTCAATCAGTCTGCTTTCTGGCATGATTTGATTGCTTGTAATATATCAAATGTGAACTTGTAAAATTATCATTAGCTAATATAAGATTATATGTAAAGGTAAAATAGTTAGAATTAGTAAACATTTTCTATAAATATAGTTCAACCCTTGAAGAAAGACACGCACACACTTTGTATAACATGACATTTGAATGCTTGATAGGAAATATAAAAAGGTATAAAAATATGAAATCCAACAATCCCTCTTTTGATCTCCCCATATTCATGGGAGATCACACCCTTTTGGATGTTTACAGATAGAAGTGAGTAACACTGCCACCGCACCCAAACTTACTGCACCCCTCCAGGGGTCCTGGACCAGACCCCTGGTTCAAACCCTTCAAAACCTGTAAAAAATACCAAATGCATAAACCTTTATAAAAATACAAAGAAACACTACAACACTCCTAGTAAATGATAAATACCCAACACACTAAAATAAGTAAAACTCTACCCTAATCCCAAAATTGACCTCCTGTTAAACCACCTTTAAAATACCTCGTGGGATTTTAGAATGATTAAATGCCCAATTGAATGGAGTAAAATTTTGAATCGTTAAGAGTTTCCAATTGAATCCACGACCCTTCTCTGGTTGTTTTTCAGAATGCCTGAAAGAAAAGACAAGACACTCATGTTAAACAAGAAAAGACAAAACACACAATTTAAACAGGACTATCTAGCAGGTCTTCGGTTCTTGAGCTTGCGGTGGGAGGCCTTGTTCGTCCACAAGGGTCCTTTTGGTGCTCGGCGGGATTCGACCCGCGGAGATATCTTCATGTAAAGTCCTTAGAACCTTTATCAGTCTGATTAGGCATTCTCAGAGCCCTGTAAAGAGAGAGTTGCGACACTCCCATAGACTCCCATAGAAAGAATGGAATGCGGAAGTCACGTGGGTCATGAAGCGGCAAAGAGTTCCAAACAGCAGCGGGTTCAGCATTGAACGTAGTACATTCTCCGTGTTTTCCCGGTAAGTTAATGAAAATGCGACACTTTTTCTCCATTGTGAAGCGTTATCTGACTGTTCTGTACCTCAATTTATCAACATTAATACTTCATGTCTCCAGTTTTAGTTAATGAAACATGTTAAATTGCTAGTTGTGTTTTAACTGCAGCTGCTCTGCAACATGACGGTTTAAATGGGTCTATTTCTAATTCAGCGTTTTAAAATATCTATTACTGCTTACATTTTGAAAGGTGGTCTTTTTTAAATTTATGGTAATTCCAGTTACTGAACTCAACTAGAAAATATTTGGCTTTTTTTCCTGAGAGTTTCATTCAACCTTTATTTCTACAGGTTTCTACATTGAGCCTCGAGGACTCATTTACAAGAGAGACCTGATTTAACAAAGAATGACGGCAACATGACAACAAGACTGATGTAATTTAGTTCAAGTTATAGATCATTTGTCAAAGACTGCAGCATAAATTGTGACATTATCATTAAAGAAAAACGTGATTGTGGAGATGAGTCAATGTTTTCATGTTTTCCAGGTAAACCAGAGGAGAATGACTTCATGAACTGAATGTTGTATTCAAAGTATCACAAAGGTACAAGATCTCATTTTCTGTCTTCTATTAATCATTAACAGCTGAATCAAGATGTTTGAATAAAATTACTTTAACACCATAACCTTCACAAAGTTGGTATTTACTGCAGGACTGTTCATTTACATTAGTTTTATATTATTAGTTTAGTGTTTGGTAATCATGGGTCAAGTTGAGATGAGACTCTTTCAAGACAGAACAAGAAATAAGAATTATTACAAGAATATATCAGCATCAATAAACTGTAGGACAGTAACAAAACACTTATTAAACTATCACAGGTACATTGAGATGGAGCTGGAAGTTATTCTTCATGCCAGTTGTCTTCATCTGATCTTTTGTAAAAATATGTCAATTTATTTTCCATTAACATTTTTCTTCTCAGGACTGAGTTAATTTTCTTGTCTGTGAGTTTCTTCTGTCCTGCTTATGTATTTTTTTGTTCTAATTCTTCCCCCAGGTTTTTCTTCTCTGTTCCCTGACTGCCTGTTGATCCATCCTCCTGGTCCTGTTGATCCTGGATCATCAGATCCTGACATGTCCCCGTCCTCTGAGGACACATTTTCATCTTTCCCTCATCTCACTCACCTCATTTCTGTTTCTTCCTCAGTCTCTGAAATTACAACGTCACTGTTAGAATGAAGATTATTGTTCAATAAAAATATGACATGTCTTGATCACTGGTCAGATCACTGGTCAGTGGAAGTTCTGCTGTTCTTCTCATCTGGTTCTGGTCCATGAACAAATGGTTGAACCTCCTTCAGTCTCACTCGTCCTCACTGTGTCTCTGTCTCACTCGTCCTCACTGTG